AGTATAACAATCTCACAGAAGGCAGAAATAATTACACAACAGTTATTACTCCAGTATAATGGGACTGTCTCTTGATGTCTGCAAAAGCAGTTAGCACACTCCACAGCTTATCTCACTCACTTCTGATTGCCCAGACATTCGATATGTTCACAAGGCAAAATACTCACAAATTCTCATAAATATTTATTTAGCACTAACATAAAGTAAGCTGTAACTGTTAACTCTCACAGCAAGTTTATTCCCCTCTACATGAAATCACACACTGTTTAGTACAAACCTCTGCTTGAGACACTGCAGGAACTACATTTACTGAGCTACAGAAAAAGAATAAAGTTCTAAACTATCATCAAAATTTGGGGCACATCTATGAAGATTTCAAAACAAAGGCCAAGAACACCACAATGATATGATGGTTAGCACTGAGGACGAGGCTCACTGATGTACTATGAAGACAACAGCCTCCCAAACATAAACATTAATAATATATTACAAGAATATCCTAAAATACATACATTAATTTCCTTAGCTGAAGTTATAAGTTCCAACTCAGCTTCATCTCTCAAAGTGCCAAGTTAGACCCTCTGTCAAATTCCGTTAATCCTGCTATTCTGAATTTTCCTAGTTTTGCAGCTTTGGTTGTATCTAAGTTATTAGCTGGTCTTTGACATTGGTGCATAAAACCTATACAACATAACATAATAAATGTATGCCTTCCTTATTTTTAAGCAAGAAACAGTAAAACTATAAATATACTTAAATTCACGAAAGAGAATCCCTTGAAACCTGTTCTCCTTCGGAACAATCCCAACTGAAGGATAAAAAATACTGTCTCAGATGGAGAATCAATACCAAGATGGGAGAACTGTTCAACAAAGATACTGGTGCTTAGGAGGAAGATGAGTTTCACATATTCAAATAATACACAAATCGAATCCAAGTAGATTGAGATTTAAATGCTGAAAGAAAAGCAAGAAAAATATTGAGGACATAAATGAGAACATATTTACGAAACAGGCACCTAAGTTCAAACAACAGAAAAGCTACGGGAAACTGTAGTCCCAGCTACCCTACCTGGGAGGCTCTAGCAGGACAATCACTTAAACCACAGAATTCAGGCCCATCCTGGAGAACAAAGGACATTATAAATTGAGTAAAAGGACAACCAACAATTTAAAAAATATTTTTTGCCAAATATATATGTGAAAACAAATGAAGTGCTATCTGTGTTCCCTCTAAGGCCCATATGTTAAAAGCTAGGTCCACAGCCCAAGATGCTACTAAGAAATGGAGAGCCTTTTAAAGGGTGGGACCTAGTGGAAGGAAGTTAGGTCACTAGGATCATGACCTGGAAGGGTATACTGGAATCCCAGTCCCTTCCCTTCCCCATGTATCTATTTATTGCTTCACAGCCACAATGAAATACACAATTTCCTCTGCCATGTGCTCCTACCATAATGTACTACTTTGCCACAGACACAAATGCAACAAAGCCAACTGACCATGAACTGAAACTTCTAAGACTATGAGTCTAAATAAACCTTTCATCTTTTTAGCTTTATTAGCTTAGATATTTTATTACAGTAATAGAAAACTGACTAACCCAAGTCCTATCTAAAGAAATTCTTCAAATCAGAAAGAAAAAAGTCAAATCCTCTACCTAAAAATGGTCAAAAGAAACAAATGTGAATTTCATAGAAGAGAAACACAACAGTCTATAAACATACAAAAAAGTCCTAATTCATTGGCAGTAGGATGGTTGTGATATATCCAAATGTATGAACGGACTACCACATAAAAATTATAAGAAAATATTAGCAATGTAAGAACAAAAGAAAACTTCAACTTGGTACAAGTCATCTTCAAAAGTAAATGCAGTTAAGATTATACTTAACAATGAAATATTTTCCACATAAAATCAGGAGCAAGGCAAAGATGTCTGTTATCTCCAATTCCACATTTTGCAAGAGGGAGACCGCAGTGAGTAATTAAACAAACCAAAATAAAAAGAAAAGAAAAGAAAAAAAAGAAAGGAGAAAATGCATAAAGATTATGAAATAACAAAACTACTGGAACTAATAAGGAAAATTTAACAAGGTCACAAGACAAAAACAACATACAAAATTAAACCATTATTCTATAAATCAGCAAAGAAAAATAGAATATAAAACTAAATTGAAAATACCATTTACAATAGTATCAAAAATCAACTCTCACAAAAGATATGCAAAGACTTATGAACTTTACTGTTAAGAAATTAAAGAAAGCCTGAATAAATGGAGACACATGGGATGTTCTTGGATGGAAATACTAAAATACTGTTAGGCTATTGATTCACTCAAAATTGGTCTATACATTAAACACAATTCCATTTAAAAATTCCAGCTGGCTCTTTATCGAACTGTACAAAGAATTTTAGAATTTTATATAGAAATCCAGAAAGAGAGCACGATTTAGCGCAGTGGCACTGCGCCTGCCTCACAAGCTCAAGGCCCTGAGTTTGATCCCCAGTACCGGGGGAAAAAAAGAAAAAGAAATGAAAAAAGAGTAAGAATAGCCAAAACCATTTATCAAAACAAAGTTAACTTCACATACTAATTTCAAGACACATTTCAAAGCCACAATAATCAAGACAATATGGTATAACATAAGGATAAAATAAAACAATAAATATGATTAATTAATTTTCTATAACTATATTAAGGTAATTCAATGAAGAAATGATTCTTTACAAAAGTACTGTAACAACTAGATAACCATATGATATAAATGAACCTTAATTTTTACACCTCAAAAAAAAAATGAATCCCAAATGGATTACAGGCATAAACATAAAAACTAAAATAAAAATACTAGAAGGAAATATAGGAAAAAATGTAAACTAACATTCAAAAAATTAGGTTAAAACACTAATCATAAAAGCAGCCAGCCATGGTGGTACATGCCTGTAATCCCAGCACTTGGGAGGCTGAGGCAGGAGGATATCTTGAGTTTGAGCTCAGCCTGGGATACAAAGTTGAGTTCAAGACCAGCCTGAACAACAAAGTAAGATTCTGTCTCAAAAAAACCAACCAACTGAATGAATGAATGAATGAATGAAAAAGCAAGGCAACTTGAACAGTACTTAAATATTTTTAATTCAAAGAAAATGGTAAGAAAAACATAAGCCACATACTGGAAGAAAATATTTGCAAATTACATGTATCTGATAAAAGACATTCAGAACATACAAACAATTCCTATAACTCAATAGCAAGAAGATAACCCAAATAAGAAACTGACAAAGTTGAACATGTTAAGCACTGGGTTCTCCATACTTCCCCTACTATACACTCAGCCTGCATTTCACCCCTCCTCCTTTTTTACCACCCCCCTCATAGCACTGAACCCTGACCTTTGGAGGCTGCTCTGATACTTATATCCCCACAGTCATGCATGGTAGTACATGCTTGTAGTCCTGTCTACTCAGGATGCTGAGGGCAGAAGATTTCAAGTTTGATGCCAGCCTGAGAAATTTAGCAAGACTCTGTCTCGCAATAAAATAAAAAAGGCTACGGATATAGCTGAGTGATAGCATATCTGCCTAACGTGTGAGGGCGTGGGTTGTTCTATCCCAAAGTGCCACAAAATTTAATTAATGAAACACTACAATTACATTTTATTTTGTGAAAATATCAGTACCTGGTTTTTACCTTTAGCAACATCTGTAACCATTTTTAGACTGTGAAGAATAATTAGCTGCTGTTACTGCTTATGTGCTGAGAATGTATAATTATATAACACATGAGTAGCAAAATCTTTTTTTTTTTTTTTTGGTACCAGGGATCGAATTCAGGTCCTTGCGCTTGCAAGGGGCAGTGGAACCACTGAGCTAAATCCCCAGGCCACGACCAGCAAAATCTTAAAAATCCTCTGAAAAACAGTCAACAGCCACAAGAAAGAATGTTCAAAACTGTTAGTCATTAGGAAGATACAAATGCATACCAAGAGTTATCCCTAGAATGGCTGAAACATTAAAAAGTTAACAAGAACAAGTGTTGAAAAAATGAAGACTAAGTGGAATTTCTCATCTTCTGCTAATGAGAATGTACAATACTACAATCCCTTTGGAAAACAATTTAGCAATATCCTGTAACAATTCTACTGTTATATATTTGCCCAAGAGAAATGTAAACATGTCTACCCAAAGACCTGCTTCCAAATGTACATGTAACATTACACATAACAGTGAAAAAATGCAAACAACCCAGAGGTCCATCAACAGGTACATGCATATACCCGGTGGAACTATTCATATAATATTACTTAGTAACAAAAGAAACAAATTACATGAAATAATATACAACCTACCCAACATCATAGCTTAGCCTACTATAAATGTGCTCAGAATATTTACAATGGCCTACAGTTGGGCAAAATCATGTAATATAAACAATGTAAAGTACTGAATACATGTATCCAAAAAACACTGGCAACATGGTACATTGTGAATTACTGGTCATTTACCCTTGAGTTACTGACTGGCATCTGTGGTTTACTGCTGCTGCTCAGCATCTCAAGAGAGTATCTACGGTATATCACTAGCGTGGGAAAAGATCAAACTTCAGAATTCAAAGTACAGTTTCTACTGAATGTGTATCATTTTCACACTGAAAATCTAAGACTATCTGTCTTGTGATAATTCAACCCCTAAAGAACCCATGCAATCAGTTTACATACGTGTTAAAGACACTTCATGTTTAAGAACTCTAAATTTCAAACAGTGATCCTCATACTTTAATGTAAAAGAATCATCTGATATTCTTAAAATGCAACAGTCTAGCTCTCAAAAGTTGTGAAATAACAGGTACCCGACAAAGCACAAACACAAAAAAACTGTGCGCTTTTGGCAAGCCTTATACCTAACAATAGTAAAAAAAAAAAAAACATCTTAATGAAATGTGAAGTGGTAGATAAAAATTTTCCCCTTTCCACATTTTATGGACTAGAGATGGAGTATAGAGATCGGAAGAGCGTCGTGTAGGGAAAGAGTGTAGATCTCGGTGGTCGCCAGATCATTAAAAAAATACACTACAAAAAATTCTCCTCAAAACCTACATTAATAGGACTAAAGAAACAAGAAAAACATTGCTAGATATTTAAAACATTAACAGCTCAAGGGATCAGACTAAAAATGAAGCAGTGTGTATTTCAAAAGTGGAGCTAATTAAGGTAAAAGGAGGAGAAAACCGAAAAATTAGTCATCACATACACGAAACAATATATCATGATGAAGAAATTATTATTAGGAATTAACACAAGTCTGCCAAAATAAATACAAATGCTTTTCCCTTTATAGATTCAACTTCTACAATAAATTCCACAATAAAAATCAACTTTCAAATGATCTTCCTGCCCACATTACATAGTAATATTCCTAAACTAGCTTTCTTCACAAGCCAAGAATCGTTCTTATACAATATAAACCAATAACTATAGGTAGGAAAAAAGCAAGTAAATGCTGAAGGAGAGCAATACCCTTTCTCCAAACACACAAGGACAAAAATTAAAGATTGTTTGAGGTCAGCCTGGGCTACCTAGCAAGTTCAAGGCCAGCCTGACCTACACCACTCTACAACAACAGAAAAAAATCTTGAAAATATCAGAAAACCCTTCCAATCACCACAATATTATAACTACTTAAAAATATATAACCAAACACAGACACACCACATTTTTTAAGAAGAGTGAAAAACCAGCTGAATTTTTGGCTCTACGGCATACACTAAGGCACCTCTCCTCTAACAGATAATCCTTACAGTTTCTAAGTGAAAGAGTTTTAATTTAGTTTCTTCTAAAGTGTAAAGTTCACTTCCTGGTTAGCAGCTGAAGTGTGCATCCTACTTCCTACTTGTTGGATTTAAATCTGTCAACTTAGCTGAGGTAGTTGGTTTCAAATATTTATAATCCTTTAAATATTAATAGTTCTGATATGGTTAACAAAATAATAGCGTAGTAACACATTTCAGCATTTCCTTCTTTAGAAAAAACGTTAAGAAAACTCATGATAGAAATATAAAAATAATTACATGCTCTAAAAATTTTCCCAATATCAATGAAAAGATCATACACATACTAAAATTAATACCATAATGGTCATATTTTGTATTTAAAACGCCCTTTGTATAAGAAGGCGGCTCATTAAACTAGCAAATTAGACTTGATGACCAAGATCAGTTTCAGTAATTTGATTCTTGACCCCACAATTTTTTGCATGCATCTCTGAACCATGCAAGAGTTAGTATTATTGGACTCTAATTTAAGGAAACAGGTGAGTCAAAATCAATCTTAAAAAAACTCACAAACTTCTTGCCATTTTTTAAGCTTAAGAGATGTAAAAAATGAACTATATCCCCCACTCTAAAACAGGTTTAACTATTCCAACAGAGAAGACAGTTACAAACAAAATGCTACCAAGTCTTTCAACTATTGCTTAATATTCATAAGACCACATAATACTTCGTTAAGTCTTAATTCTATACTGTACTCAATGTCAAACACTAAAGGGTAAAGTATTTAAACCCCAATACCTAGGATTAGGAAGTAAACTATTTCAAATCCCCGTTATTAAATCTTGAATTATTTCGCTGTAATAAATCGCAGTCTGCAAATAATCCTAATTTACCAGTAACATCAATGAACAAGAGTTTAAAAAAAAAAAAAACTTTCCCAAAGTACCTAAAATAATAATGCACTATCTCTGCTTTCCAAAACTCTTGAGCATTTTCAATTACCTCTAGTATCATAAAATTTTTTAAATGATCTCAAAGAAAAAATTAATCAGGTTGTTAGTATATAATCCATTTTGGTACACATGCTTTATTCTAAAGGCAAGCACAGGTACACTACAACAGTATGCCAAAACTACAACAGGGTGGGGCATTCATTACCCAGATGAACCAAGTATAAAACTGTAGTTTGACGGTTATTCACAAATCTAATTACCCCCCAAATTCCAGCACCACAAAGACAGTTCCTCTTTGCCCAAAATTATGTTCACACAAATTGGAAAATTTTTAAAAATTAAAAATCAAGTCATAGCCAACTACCCTTCAGAGTATTGTGCAAGCCATGATAGTGCACTTAAGATTCTGAAAGCAAAATCTAAAGTGGACAGGTGATATCTCAGTATTCACACCATTCACAAATATTTTTCCTTTACATTTTCGCCTGAAGTGAGTGACCATTTGAATGCAGGCCGGTGCGAGAGTAAAGGGTGAACGACAGAACAAGGTCAAACTTAGGGGACAAAAGATTCTTGGAATAACATAGCCAGAAAGGTTTTCAATCTTAAGGGTTTCTATACTCAGGGGAAAAAAAAAAAGGAAGAAAGAAAGCAAATCGTGTACGTGCACCTAGAAACTTCAACTGACCAATGCACCTGCCTGTAAAGGCAGGCAACTCAATTTTGGTGGAGATCTTTTCGCAGAATAGCAGGCCTGGAACATTACTCCCTTCGAAACCTAAACTGTGTTCAAAGGGATAACAACTGGTATTCTTTGCTTTAAAAAAGAAAAAAAAAAGCTGGAGAGTATAAAGTTTAATTAAGAATCCGTATAGAGGACTGGAGGAATGCGAGGGTCGCTCTCTTTACCTGGCACCATCTGTCACAAGAAAACAAACGGCAGGAGGAAGTGGACTGAAACCCGCAAACTGCACCCGGCTCGCACGCGCGGCAGCCAGCAGCGAGCCCCGAAGCCCGGCCGGGGCGGCGCGCGGCGGGAGCAAGCCCGGGCCCGGCCGGGAAGCGGCGGCCTCACCTTCTGCGCCGCGCTCTGCTGCAGCACATTCTGCTCCACGGTCATGGCCCCGCGGCGGCGGCGGCGGCGGCGGCGGCGCCCGGCTGCTCGGCTGCTCGCGCTCCGCCGAGCTCAGTCAGGGGCCGGTTGGCCGCGGAGGACAGCGACCCCGCCAGCAAGGAGCGAGAGCGGCGGCGGCGGCGGCGGCGGCGGCGGCAGCGGGCAGGCGGCGAGGGCCACGGCGGCCGCCCCCACACTCGGCGCGGCCACCCTCAGCGCGGCTCGCCGCCGCGGCCCAGGCCGGGAGCGGGCGGCAGACGGCGGGGCGCGGGAGGGCGAGAGTAAGCCGGGCGGCGTCACGAGTTTGCGCGCTCCCTCGCGGGCTGCTCGTGGGCCACTGCTGCTGGGAAGGGAGTGAGGGACGGAGGGTGCGGCCGACCGGAATGGCGCTGTCCTCCTCCCTCCGCGACTCCTCCTCCCCCCGCGACTCCTCCTCCCCTCCCCTCCCCCAACCGCCGTCACCGCCCCCGCCTGGCGGCTCCTCCCCCGCAGAGCCCCGCCCGCCGGCCGCCCTAACCCTACATTGTGACCCGAGGGGCGGTGGGGCGGTGGGGCGGGGCGGGGCAGGGCAGGAAGGGGAGGGGCTGCTCGAGCCCCGGCCCGCCCCTTCCCCGCCCCCCCGCGGGCCTGGCGCTCCCGGGAGGGGCTGGGGGCGGGGGCGGGGGCGGGGGCGCCCCGGCAGGCGGGGCTGGGGCCTCCCCTGCGGCAGGTTGCACAATGCTGGTTTTAGGCTCTGCTAAACTCCGGGCCAGGGTGGCTACTGCCTTCCTACCTACGCCCAAGATCGTGGGTTCGCCCTCTGGGCCAAGGCCTCCAAAACAAACATATCCCTCCCTACCTGTGAGGTTCCCAAGCCCTACAAGGTCCCAAACTCCTGCTTCTTTTTTGTCACCTGTCTCCTCCCCTGGCCTTTCTAGGAATTTCACTAGCAATGAACTTGCCCGAATACAAAAGTCAAATAAGCAAAGGACTTTCAGAAATCTTTAGGCTGGGATGTACTTTTCTTAGAACCTCTCATTCCAGACGTGAGTATTGACTTCTGGCGTCTACTTTCTGTATTGGAATGTGTTCCATTCGGTGGTAGGTGCTGGAGAAACGAGACTGCTTACCTAAGATTCAATATAAATGAACAGTCTATAAGGCAGACATTGCAAAGAATCACTGCCTAGTAGATAGAAAACTCTAACAGCTCACTTGCCAATTTAAGCAAACAGCTACCAAGCATGGAGTACTCTGCTAAATATGGCAAACTTAACAATGAGAAAGCAATCTGGAGTAGCAAAAATATCTTGAGTTGCACCAGCTAATCTAGAGACTGAGTGTGCAATGGTGGAAAAGAATAGTCGGGGTGTATTGTTACAAATACAATGTGCACGCGAATCCGTGGTAACAAGTAAGCAAGCCTGGTGAAGGATACTTGGAATATTATCTGTTATTATTCGATCATAGTAACTCATAAGGGCTTTGTCACAGTTCTTTCCAGTTTAAAACCATCTCTGGATGTCTTCAGCCATTTTTTGTGATCTTTCCCGTGAATTCTCCCACTGTATTTGTTTGCTCATTTGATTTAGAAAAGTTTATTTTATTGATGTCCTATATACTTGCCAAAAACCCTGAAAAGTTATGAAATGGTTAGAAACAAAGAATTGTAGGGATAATGCAACTGTTCTTATTCAAAACATCAAACTACGAGAACACTGAGACTCAAAGTCAAAAATGTATATTAGAGATCATTTTTCCTCATTTATAGACAAGTTTCTTCTCTTCCTCACTTATAGACTAACTTCATGTCTCTAAGATATTACAGGGTTATTTTTTAGAAAACCAGATCTACCAGATACAGAAGTTTACGTATTATATGGTTTCTCTAATGTGACGGACATACAGTATCAATAATTTAAAGAGCAAAATAAAACAGAAATGTTAGGAAACAGGGATGTAAACTGTGGAGATGGGAGGAGGCTCTGGGGAAGAAGAGAAAGGGGAGCTGGGAAAGAAGAGTAAAATGAACATGCAATTCCTGTGTACTATAAAAATGTAGTATTAATAAAAATTTTTAAAGAAAATCAGGTTTTTTATCTAGTACTTTGATTTTTTAAAAGATATTATCAGACACTACAGTTTAATTTCAAGAACTTGGCAATTACTCTAAGTTTTTTAGTTTTACAAAAAAAAAAATCTTGCTAGTGCTTTCTACATAATCAGACACACACTCAAAAAAACCTCTCTATAGAGCAAGAATATTTGCCAATTTAGATCATCCATTTCCTGTTTATATCTGATGGCTTCCTACTTACTTAACATTTTTAAAAAATAATAATTGTCATAGGTAGGATTTTGAGAGGAAATTTTCTGTTTTCCTTATCGGCCTTCCTTTTTAGAAAGCTTATAATTGGAATGAATAATTAGAGGGTGGAAATTAGAAATTGAGATAAATTGGCACATAGAACCCATTGCCAGGACTTAGTCATTTTCAAAATTTGCTACTGTGACAATTTTGATGCTCATGAATCAGCTTTAATATGCACAGTTGTTGAAGCTATATTTGCTTAGAATATCATTTTTATGACTCCTAAATTGTTACGTTATCATTGACTGTCAAGTAAAAACACAAAGTGATAGGATCCATATAAAATGAAACATTTGGCTTTTAACCTACTATGGTTTGAATGTGTCTTCCCCAAAGCACACAGATTTAACCTCCAATGCAGCAGTGTTGGGAGGTGGGACATAATGAGAGGTACTGTAAGCCAGGAGGATTCTGCTCTCATGAATTAATCCCATCACCACAAGAGTGCATTCATGATCCAAAACTGGTGGGTTCCTTATAAAAGAACAAGCAAGTTTGGCACCTCTCTCTCTCTCTCTTTCTCCCTCCCTCTCTCTCTCTGTCTCTTCTCTTCCTCCCTCTCTCCCTCAATCTTTCAGTCCCTCCTTCCCTCTTCTGCTCTTCTGAGCAGCAAGAAAGCCCTTATCAGATGATAGCCCTCCTGTTTTGAACTTTCCAGCCTCTAAGGCCATGAGGCAATAAATTTTGTTCAATATATAATTGCTCAGTCTTGGGTTGTCAATTAGAGCATCACAAAACAGACCAAAACAATCCCAAGTCTATTTTTCTAGTTTGAGCCAAACTGATATTTCTAACAATATTAAATATTTGGTATTTTTTTTATGTAAACCAATGAAACTGGTGTTTTGTGTGTTGACTATTAATTTTTCTTTGTTTAGAAAAGTTTCAAATAGCTGCACGTGCTGGTACATGCCTGTAATCCCAGCACTCAGAAGTCAGAAGGATTGCCATGAGTTTGAGGCCAGGCTAGACTACATAGTGAGTTCAAGACCAGCTTGGAATATGTAACAACACTTTGTCTCAAAAAAACAAAAACGAAAAAAAAGAGTTTGAAAATCTGTTTATGGACACTGAAAATCTGCTATGTTGCCAAAACGTATTTGAAAGATACTAATAAGAGAGAAAACTTCAATTCATATTGTAAACCTGGATAATTTTTATGATATAGTGTGGTCTTCAATCTACTTTAGTGAGGATTAGAATTATTTTCTTTTTTTTTTGTACTGGGGATCTAACTGAAGACCTTGTGCTTGCAAAGCAGGCTTACTGAGCTAAACGCCCAACCCCTATTTTCTTTCTTTACATGTATTGATATTCTGTAATAATTCTATTTCCAACAATAAGAAAACAATAAGCAAACATTCATAGACAAATTTTCTATGATGTAATAATAACACTATTTAGTCATAGGGTATTCATAGATTAGAACTTTGTGTTAGCTTTTTGTCATTGTGACAAGAATATCTGAGATAAACAACTAAAAGAAGGAGGGTGGGGGATTTAGCTCAGTGGTTCTGCCGCCCGCCTCGAAAGCGCAAGGACCCGAGTTTGATCCCTGCTGGCTAAAATAAAAAAAAAAAAAACAACTAAAAGAAGGAAAGATGTATTTTGGCTCATGGTTTCAAAGGGTTTAGCCATGATTGTTTGGCCTAGTTGCTTTAGCGCCTGAGGCAAGACAGTACATCATGGTGGAAGTGTTATGGAGGAAGAAAGCAGCTTACCTCATAGTGGACAGAAAACAAAGAGAGGAAAGAGCCAGAAAATATACCCTTCAAGGGGCATGCCCCCAACAACCTACTTTCTCCATCTAGGCCCAACGTCCTACAGTAGCCATCACTTTCCAATACCCCATTGTTATAAATCTGTAAGTAGATTCATCCACTGTTGAGATCGGAGCCCTAATGATCCAAGCATCTCCTGTGTTATCCCAGTGCTGCTGCACTGGGAATCAAGCCTTCAACACATGAGGATAATTCAGATCCAAACCATAACTAAGCCTGTAAGATTAGGATCTGTGTAAGACATGCATAATGAAATGCTTATTGAAGTGAATGGGGAGCTAATACATTTATTCATGCTTTTACAGTCCGTGTCCAACTCTAACCTCATTCCAAGTGGCTATGAGGTCTAACCCCAGCCCTATTACTCTGTTCCACTAAGCATAACATTATTAGTATATCTAGCTGTCAATAATGTCTCACACTTTGGGGGCCTCTGGATAGTACTTCTTTGGTATTGTACTAGTTTGGTTGAACTTCTATAATAAGTTACTGCAAACTGAGGGTCTTAACAGAAGTTTAGTTTTTCATGGTTGTGGAAATTGTAAGTCTAAGGTCAAAGTTCTGGCAGGGTCAGTTCCTCCTGCTGCCTCTCTCTTTGATTTCCAAGTGCCAACTTCTTGCTACCTATTCCTATCATTGTCACTCTGTGCATGTGTGCCCATCATGTCTCTTCCTCTTCTACTAAGGACACCAGTCATATTGCATTAAAGCCTTATCCGATAGCCTCATTTTAATTTAATCACCTCTTTAAAGATTTTAACTCAAACTGTGGTCATGCTGTGGATATGGTTATACATCTTTTAACTTGAGCATCTCTTTAAAGACTTTATTTCAAAAATATGATCAGGCCAGAGATTTAGTTCAGTGGTTCTGCCTCCTGCCTCGAAAGCACAAGGTCCCAAGTTCAATCCCTGGTACCAAAAAAAAAAAAAAAAAAAAATTACAAAAATATGGTAATATGCTGAGAAACTGGAGTTAGTACTCAACA